AAGGAGTGTAGGAGCCGGCAGCCGAAAACCTATCGACAAGACATTGTTGTTGGATCGAGAAGGAAAATTTTTGCCTTTCTCCGGCGCTCGACTAACATTGTTCGGGAGAATCAGAGCGACGAGGAAACGACGATTAGCGGACGTGACGATGGAAGCAGGACTACTCGACGATTTTCGATATCAAGTTCACGATTTCCACTTGGAAATGGATTGCCTGCCTGCTGTCTGACTTTCATCGTAGACGTTGAACAGCGGACGGGGATCGAACGTAGGATCCTTTTCAAGTCTTGCGGAGATCGATACTGCGAGGGGTAGTGATTATGGAACGTTGTATCTTCAATCAAGTTAGGGGTTACGATGAAGAGGAACGACGTTCTCGAAGCTAGATTGCGGCAGCTATTAAAAGACTGCGGTGGAAGTCAAGGTTGCGGTGCAATCGATAGCTTGAAGTTCAAGGAATATCGTCGAATTGAATTTTTTCTCATAGAAATTTTTGATGGTTTGATAGGAAACGATGCTATAAGATTCTCTTGTAGGATGTAATTCTGTATTTAATTTAACAACTCCTGTATTTCTTTTAACAGTCTTCTATTCTCTAGTAAAAATATTCCTCAAAATTTTTAAACACTAAAACTTTGAACCTACCTATGTAATGGTTGAGTAACTGCTTTTTTTATTATCTCTGTAAAGGTTAAAGCATACGTTTCAATACTAAAAAAACGACATAAATGGTGTCTGATAAGTGCAACGAATTTTGATAAAACATACTAATGTTGTAGATGCTAAGATAATGTTATACCGTATACGAATTCTATGGAATAACGTGCATGTGACGAACCTAACGTAAACCTAACGTAAACCAAATTCGTTCGACCGAGGATCCTGATGGTTCGCACGGTTGTTCACCACATGAAAGTACATGTCTTAAACGCATAAAAATAATGGCGTATACACAGAAGTATACGATACAATGACGAATACTGTCCGGCTGTTCCAAGTGACTAGCGTAAATAATACTTTCTGTCCGATGCGTTCGACTGATCACGAGTGGTGAATACCATGGGGATCCAAAAATGCGTGCAAAAAGCTCCCTAGCACTTTCTAGATGCCCCCTGTTCGTCGCGTGACTCAAGACGATTAGGTCTGGCTTGGGAACGCAAGAGTTTAGTCTCGCTTTGATTGGGGTAGGTCCCAAACGTATAGTCGACGACATAATAAGTCTACCACCAGCAGAACTTGCTACCAACGTAGCAAGGTCAGTGATAGGGGACCTACGTTAATTAACGTCTTGCCGTTAAACCGTCCCGATAGGTCTCTAGAGATCGAGGCCTGATGGCCATCATAAAGCAACGATCGAACTCCGTTGGGAAAATCATAGCGTTACACGGAGCTCACAATAGTATGTATATTGCAAACGATTAATTTTGTCGCGTACATCATAAATAACTGTTTGACACAATTAGTTAAATGAAAATCGATATTGCAAAAATAACAACATCATGACAATCTTCTATCGGTTTGTTTCGGTCAATTTCTCTATTTTTCTACATAAGTACACGACTAATGTTTAATTCTCAGAAAACAAATTATTTGCTTCCATACATTAATTTATTACAAGAAGATAATGCAAGGAATAGAAAATTCCAAGTTAAATTTCAGAAATGATATTTATATTATCATTAGCTTCTTCTTCTGCTTCCTAATTTGTGGAGTTGACGAGTATGGCCTCTGAGTGGCTCAACAGTTACAAAATTATTTACAATTGTAAATAGGGTTCATAGTCACGATCGCTAAAATAGTTGAAAAATATGATTATCTCTTATACGAAGTTGTATTACCGAGTGACAATATTTATTCGGATACAGCGTGACTCGTGTTCTGTCTGGTAGAGAAAACACAAAAGTAGTTACCATTCCGTATTCCCTTTGTGCTTTGTAATCTTCAAAATATAGCAGAGAGGGTTTCCTACCCCGCGTACTTGAACGAGAATTTCCAAATTCAATAATGTTGTTCTAATTAAAGAAATATTTAAAGCTAAATTAATAAACGAAATTTTCCACCATTATAAATATATGTATACTACTAGAAATTTCAATTTTATAAAATGACAGAAAATTGTCTACACTGCTAGATTACAATTATCCTCGTGCTTGAATGAAAACTTTCAAATCCAACAAGTCTGCTCTTATCAAAGAGATATTGAAAATTATATATGTAGATCATTGACTGAAATTTACGTTATTATAAACACATATTACTATATAAATTCCAATTTTGTAAAGTTAGTTATTTTTCTAAAAATAATCAAGTATCGATAATACAAATAAAGTATTATTACCTGATGAATTATTAAGAGAGCTACAAATTCGTATTGTCAGATTTTAGTGTCGTTGTTTTCGTACTTGCAGTCGAAGCCTACGTACGTCGGGCGAAATGGTTGTCGTAGGTCAGTAATCGATAAAAACCTATTTTTCCCGTGCGTGATGCAGTGACGATGGGTCGCGTTCGTATTGCTGTCCGTAAATGTATAATTTGTCGCCTCACACGAATAGCGTTATCAAGGAAATTGTTTTGTTGCGTATATTGTTGTGGAAGATCAATAGGTTGGAAGAGAAAAAAGTGTACGGGTCGTTTACGAACGAGTTATTGAAAAGCGCGAAAAAAAACGTGCATATGTACATAGAGAAACCATGGTATATCCAATGGGGACGAAAAAAGCTTTACAAAGAATATAAATACATACGTATGTAATATGAGAATGTTACGCGTCTGTCGTATACGGATCGTCACGTGAGAAATGAAGCAAGAAAGTCGAAACATCGTGTCTTTTATACGTATACACAACGATGTGCCACATAACCTAACTTCGTTTCGATTACGAGGCCGATGAAACGCTGAGCGTGATTTTTTTTATTTTTCGTTTTTTGAAAATCCTTGTAACTCTTGTATTTGTGTGACTGGTACAGTGGTATGATGTAATTCACGCACTGCATCCATAGAAACGTGAGCGTGCGTTTCTATCGTGAGTGGCAACTGTGCGTGCACGCGTGTTCCGGACGTACCGACGCGTGAGTATGTACGCGCGGACGAAAACATGCCGTTGCCAGAAATAACCATGTATGAGTCAACTGCTGAGTCTAAATAGGAGGTTCGCTACATTTAGAGCTCGTGTCTTGATTATACATGGTCTACACCATGACAAATAACCTAGAAAATGCGTACCTATCGAAAGAGTTTGATTACGACGGCGCGTCGTAAGGCCATTGTAGCGAATTCGTGTTCTGATTGACAGGATTCTGACGAATTGTCGTTTTGACGAATGAAACATTTGAAGACCGAAACGTAACGCTTGTTTCGCTGTTCATAAGTATGAAGACACGATTTAATTTAATACAAAATGTAATTAACCCTGTTAGATACAAGACTGATCAACTCTACTTGTTATTAATTTTTTAATTTCGCCACAGTAAACTTAATATCCAATTCTCAAGGTACAAGTACATACATACATACGTCCGTAAATCCACTCGTTGCAGAAGATAACGTAGATAATGGTAAATTCTGAGGTAAGAGAAGCGTGTAGATCGAGATGTGAAACAAAATCCCGAGTCAAGTAACAGCAAATATAATAGAGAAGTGACTAACGAATTTCAAAATTTGTTATAGAAACAATAGAGAAACGTAGTAAATATTAACAAGAGGGAATGAAGCTTGTTATCACAAGGGTAAGATTCTATTATAGCATATTAATCTAAAATTTTAAAGAAGACAACAATCCTTAAAAGTTTTAAAAGTTAAGAATTACATTTTTTGTAGGTGTTCTGATCTATTTGACTGCTCCGACATACAATTTAGGTCGTCAAAATGGCCACAACACCAGAACCACTGTAACTATAACACGAACTATAACATCGCCGATCGCAAGGATCTGTCATAACAATCCCGAGACTAAGAGCATAAACTTTACGCTACCAGCGTGCATCTTTTGTGTTATAATTCATTCGCGTGTTGTAATCCAACGAGAAGTACGCTGTCCACCAACAGGAAAGAGTTTAGCAGAGATGTTTTATTCATCTGTTTAATCAACAATTAAGATTAAGATACATCTCGTGCCACATCAAAGGTGTAACATCAAGTAGGTGCCCTTGAAGTACTAGCGTGATTTGATTTCCATCTTTCTTTTTCGCTCGTTAAAACGTGCGGCTTCCAGCGACTCTCGAGTGTTACTTGATTTTGTAAAAAAGAGATACCATAATAAATATGTACAAAGAAGTGTGAGGAAGGGATGGTAGAATAGTAAAGCAGGGTAAAAGCTATCGTTGACTGCACTTGTAATTCAAATTTTCTGTTCCGGAGCGCAAGATGCGTCAATGTTGGCGAAAAGACAGAGCGAGAGAGAAAGAGAAATAACTTAATTAACTGGTTCCGGTGTGCGCGAGAATCGTTCGTAAAATCCGTAAAGCGAGAGAAAGAAGTAGAGCGGTGAGCTTATTCAACTCCGTAAAACTGTTTATTCATAAAAGTATTTTCATAAGCAGCACCTCGCTTAGCGAAAAAAGAAGTCATTGCCGCTAAATGCGGCGTGAAAGCGACACACGGACACTAGTCTCTGATTTTTCAGGGACACGTTTGATCTCGTCACTCGGAGATTAACCTATCTCTGACGTATCTACCAGTGGTTACCAACGTGAATATAAATATATATATATAGCTAACGGTGTCGCGCGACACACGCGTAACCCTCACAAGCTGACCGGCACGTGTCGAGACAAGGCGGTTAGTTGAAAGCGTCGGATAGAAAGGCAGACAGAAAAGAGAAAGACGGGTAGAACCAGAGAATAAAGGGCCGAGGGGTGGGGTTAGAATTATACGTGCCCCGAGGAAAACTCAATTCGCGGCCACTTTGACGCACCCTCCATCTGGGTGGATCGTCGGATAGGCGCTGATACAAATCCACAAGATATATTCCTTCTTCTTCCTTCTCCTCTCTATAACCATAGTCTGTGCCCTCTCCTTTTCTCTCTCTCATCAGAGCACATAGCCGTAGTAGTTTATCCTGCTTTCTACCCCACTGGTGTACACCCGTGCACGTGCAGATACTCATTCGTACACACCGACAGGCCTCGCAGACACGTGCGTGGACCGGCAACAATTCCTAACCAAAAAGCCGGAGTCACCCTCGCCTCTTCCCCTCTTGCCCCTCGCACGGGAGTGTCTGGCTGCGACCGTCATCGGCGGGGCATCGAGATGCGGGGAAGTAAGAGGGGAAAACACCCGGCACAGTGGCGAGCGGCAAGAGAGGAGTGGGAACACAGACCGACAGTGGCACAGGGGGGAAGCTACGTACTCGTGACGTTGCGTCTAGACGCCCCCTCCACCTCAACCCGAAACGACGTCCACACAACGAGCGCCGAGCCAGCGCAGCGCCGAGGAACATCTCTCGGTTTTCTCCGCCTCTCGTGTACGTAAATTGCCGAGCACCGAACTCAGTGTTTTATTCTCATGGCGCTAGATGTCGCTCCCGTTGACTGAATTAACTAGCGCGACCGCGGATTTTCAAAGTGCGCGGGTTTTTCTGTATTCGTATGGTTTACCTGCATTACGCACAAGCAATACCGTTTCAATTTATTTGAATTTCTTTACATTTTTGTAGTGATTCTTGGTTTGAGAAAGTGACGGTGACCGGTGTATTCTGTGGTGGCTACGTTGATGATTATTTTGGAAGAACGACGACGATTTTTCGTTTTGGAACGCCAGACCCCGTGTAAGACGACGACTGGTAAGGTTAAAATTTTTATCTCAGTTGTATCGTTGCATATATTAGTACTGAATGTTTTATCGTAGATGCAACGTTTAACGATATCGATGACAGATTAATTTTATTATTCTTATCGCGTTTTATCGTGATTCATGATTCATCCGAGCAAACGGTGCATACAAGCGTTTTATCAGGGATCATGGCTCGTGAGTCAGGAAAGGTTAGGCGGGATTTAAGAGCGGCGTATCCTTAAGTTTACGTTCTTACGCATGCGTTTAAATTAGGAATGGCATTTAAGGCCATTCCTGAACTTTATTATCGTTTAATCGCGACGGTATACACACATACGCGCTTTTAATCGCGTACACGCGTATATAAGCATTAAACACGCATACGTGCATGGACGTGCAAAGACACGAGAGAGTAGATGTGCATCGTTGAATTTTTATGGACTGAGGGGAGCGATGCGAGACAGACGTTTCATGGCCTTGAAGATCCGCGGCCAGCGATAGGGGCATAGTTCTTTTGTGAAAAATAATTTTAGTCGTGAACCGTCGTTTCCACCGGCAAACGTGCAAGCTAATTAATTTTCTACGGATCGTATACCGTGTTTGACGCGGGAAACCGAGGACCGGATTTCTAAATCCACCTTTAGAATCATAACATCGAATTTCATCATGGGAATTTTAGAAGACGGTCTACTGAAAGACTATAGAACTCATTTTAGGCTATTTCGAGAAGCGGTTAAAAGCAGATAATTTATGGGTAATTGTTATTTGTCTGGATTGGGGTTAAGTAAAACCCTTGCATGAAACTGATAACTTGTTTTAAGGTGTCTTAAATCGAAATGATTAAATCGAGCGGGGCTCTTTTGCACAATAATTTTTAATATACGTATATATATATATATAGGTATTGAGCTACAAATGTAGAAGTATAAAATAATTATGTAGTTTATTCGTGTGAGGAAGTTCAAGGGTTCATATTATGTTTAGTTAAGTTAGTTAATAAACGTAAGACACTGTTCAAAGCGACATCTTTACAATCTACATACATACTATATCGATTTTTCTCATCGCTCATGGAAGAATATATGGCCATAGCTAAAAAAAAGTAAGTACGGTATGCACTCTGCGCATGAGAACATCTATCACTCAAAAAATATGATCAGAGAGAAAAATATCTCTCACTAAATTGTGTTATACCGCATTCCACCACCGCCACTTATGAAAGAGTTATAGCTCATCTCAGACTACCCTGTATAATATACAGCGAGGAATAAGAGTATTATTTATTAAGTATAGGTAATATAGGTGATTAAACAGGGTAATATACGAGGTGTTCCAAATATCATTCTATAAATTTATATGATATACATATATGTATAAATATAATATTATACTAATACAATCATGTTTTTTAAGTGAGACAATCTATGACAATGGAAACAATTCGAATATTTTATTACGAATCTATTCTCTTTAGCTTTAATATCAGTTTATCGACCCAAATATTACATATCTACACTTATCAAATCTTTTTTCCATTGACACATACAATATCTACTCAAATTTTCTTCCAAACATCTTGAATCACTCTGTATAACATCAAGAAACTATAATAGGGCTGAAATTCATTCTTCACGCCTATAAAATTTGTCATAGTTTGATATCCTCGAATCGCTGATATTTCCTAATAAAAAATATATGTATTGTACTTTATTACATCTTTACGGTACGAATTGAAAGTATAGACATAACACGTGTGCAACGAAATCAAAAGAAAAAGCGAGCCGCCGACTACCGTGAAAATTATTCAACCCGTTGAATGGCGCACGTCGGTTCCTGCATTCCTTCGTTCACGTGTACGGCGCGGCGAAGGCGGCCGCGCAAATAAAGCGTCGACTCGCCTTCTGTCGGCGACAATGGCAATAACAATTGAATCCGCGGCGAGTGGTAACTGCACGTGTTTATGACGATCTCGGCTTACGCTCGTAAAGAGTGGTTAGCCTCTAAAGGCTGAGGCATCCGACCGACCTTCTCGTACGTTTTGTTTTAATAAATAAAACGAAGCCGATTGTGTTCACTTCTTCGGCTCTTTCCCTCTAATCCTATTTCTCGCACGTGTTCCCAATTTCTTTCTCTTATTTCTTTCTTCCCCAATTTTTCTCTCCTTTCTTGAATTTCCTTCGCCTCTTTTTTTCTTAATTCTATTCCACGCGCGTGATTTCCATTTCTTTCTCTTATTTGCTTCTTCCCCAATTTTCCTGTCCTTTCTTGAATTACACAACGTGACGATCTGTGTTCATTTTGATGTTTTATTTCGACATATATGAGAGTTTATAGCAATTCCGTTTCTGCTACACATCTCCATTATTTTCAGAAATATTATGTCGCCAGTGTGGCGTAATATTATTTGTAAAGGTTGCCTGGTTACGAGAAAGATGTAACAGATGTAGAACATTTCTCAATTTTTAATTCATCTATTCCATCCAACTCGATATATCGTACGAGTATCATCTTCACTCGAATGCCAGATACACGCAGCGAACTTGTTAACGAAAACGAACGCGATTTAAGGGATATTTATCCGAATGGAAAAAGATCCTACGTTGGCTATTAAAGGTACGCGTAAGCGGAGGGCTGCGTTCACCGCAAACAGAACTTACGCAAGCGAACTCGCTTGAAATGCGGGCTCCTGCAGCAAGTACGAGGGAAACTATTTAAAGGTCACGCATATACATACATATTTCGTAGAGTGGCGCGGCGATGCAGCTGCACGAACCGACCACGTAAAAATATGCGAGCGTTTGCTCGCGCGCTCGTTTCGCGCCACTGGATCGTTCCACTCCGCGTACATTGTCTCTGTCGTTGATGTTTATACCTGTGACAATCCAACCAGAGCACGAACTGTTTCTATTGCGATCGAAAATTTGTCGCTTCTCAATTTTGTATAAGATTTACAATAATCCAGCGTTACCCTATCATAAAGGAGGGTAAATTGTGGTTAAAGGTAACAGTTGAGGGGTTTCTTGAGAAAACGATCTATAAGTACATAAACAAACACATTTAGTGTTCTACAAGTTAGCACTTGTAAACAAGATAATCGATGCTATCGAGCTTTTCTATAAATTCAAGAAGAATCATATTTTATTAATTACAAGACTCGATGAAAGTTACGTTCGAGGCTAGCTGGTTGTCACGTGTTGAAACAAAATTTTAGTTGGCGTCTGATTGACTGTACATCCCTGTCAGTTAAATCCATTTACTTAGATGCGAACTTGTAATATTTAAGTGACAAATTGTGTCATAGTGAGGTATGAATCGAGTCTGTCAGGAGTTGCGTGTTCTTCTTATCAGAAAAGAATTGAAAATTCCAGTAACAATGTCTGTTTTAACGCATTGATTATATCGAAACGCGAGAAAAGAAGAAACACATCAATTACGTCAGTAGTATTATCTTGCTAAAAATAATTAAATTGACGGAACGTATGTGTTGTGTCGTCAATCTGATAGATTTGTATAAGACGAAAACATTAGAAATGTTTATTGTCAGCATCGTAAATGGAAATTCCATACTTTCTAATGAATTTTCATATAGCAAATCGTTGGTAAGATATCTTTCAAAGAGAAGTGTACAAGATACGGAGAAATCCACGCAAGATTCCAGAGTTTAAGTAGAATAAGGTCGGTACGTAACAGACGAAGAACTAAACATAGTAGAAAAGATCGATCGAGGCAAAGGGATGTCGCACGAGTTTCCTCGAGTTGTCTGGACTACGGTAGTGCCTGTGGTAGGGTTGTTTTGATGATTTTGTGTAAACTTGTTGTTGAGAGAGAGGAATTTGTCGGTTTAGGGGATTAAGGAGCTAACTGGTGTGCAGAAACACGGAAAACGAGCGGGTAGTGGGAATGAGGCTTAGGGCACAGCAGCGAGAGAACGTTGCGAAGGAGGGAGCCATCAAATTCGTCCTTTTTTGATTAATTTTAGTCGCCGACCGACAGCCATGTTTTGAAAATCGTCCCCATTCTTAGCTTTCCGTGTATATAACCCGTGCAACTCTTAAGTGCGTTTCGTTGGCTCTAGACCGAATACGAAAACAACTTTCTCTATTGTTCGTGATGACGGGTAAATATAGTGCGTCTAACGAGCCGTGTCAGAGCAGATAAACAAAATATTTGTGTGCATACCACGTGGCAGCTACGAACGGAAGTACGAACGCCAATGGCTGGCAAATGTCGGTTAACGTTAACCTACTCAAGATCAAGCGATCAATGGTCTGTTATAAATACACAAATTCCTTTAAATATCATGAAATATAAGTAGAAGAAATAGTAATGAAAAAATATAAAGGAAACCCTTGATATTCTCTTTCATGGCGTTGACGTTAGAAATCAGAATTTGATATCGTAAATTGATTGAGAAAAATTGCAAATGAAATATTGTGTTAACGCGAAAGTTAACTATTGCGAATGAATACACTTCTCCGGAATCATCTCATGAATAGTACCATGTTTGCATATAGGAAAATTAAAAATATTTATTTTTTCTTGTTCCCAATGAAACCATCTCTGTAGAGATTAAACTGGTTTTATAGTTTTGTATGCTACGTTATGTACAGTGATAACGTAAGCGTGATTACACACTGATATAATTAAATCAATGGTCGGAAAATTTGATACTGTCTTGAGGTCGTAAATGATTATTATGTGCGTTTATTTACTTACTCGACTTCTTATAGAATAGTATAGATTGTTTGTAGAAATATCGGTTTGCTATTGTTATTTTTTGAATAGCTTTTTTCACTAACTGAAGACCCTTTGTTAATGTTCTTTTAATCTAATTGAGCCTCTTGTCTTATAACGTAGAATATCGAGTTATACCCGTAAAGATTGTAGTTTTGATTCAGTAAAAAGAGTTGTATTTGTAGGTAGCAAAATTGGACTTGTAGGTAACACGGTTTCAATTTCAATTCTTCAGATTGAGCATTATTAAATAATTTATGTACAATATTCCAATATCATATCACTATTATCTAGTACGATATTACAGTAATGGACGATTAACGCTTAATTAAGCAGCTATTAAACAAATTACAATTTATCAGATATTATTTTCTAATAAACGAGTTAATAAACGATTCGTTGAAATTTGAACAAGTGTCTTGCCCTTCGCAATAGCAAAAGAAGAAACTAGATCAAAGTGTTATAGTCACCCGATGATCTCGATAATCATCTCAATCTTGGTCTCCCTCTGCAGCCGAGTTTAATTTGAATGAAACTGTCGGCTCTACACACGGTTTCGATTAATGAGAATCCGCATCGAGCATGCGCAGCAAGCGAGTCTTCGTACGCAGAGTTGTACACACGATCTTCCTCGAGATGTTTTCCTCTCGCTGTCCACGGATGCCTGACTTTAAACCGAGAAGCTTATTATCATTTGCTGCCAGTTATAATAGAAGCAAGGAGGACGCGACCAGAATCGTTTCAGCGTCTCGTTGATCATCACGCGAGGGAAAAAATTTAACCAGATGGTTTTTGTTTAGTCTGGAATCGGCTTGGCCTGCTAACGCGGCTATCTAGTTCGGTCTCGACAGGGAGAGAAACGCAGCGGGTGCGATAACTTCGTCGAGGGCGCGTTCTGGAGTCAAAGTTCATTAAAACCTCCCACGAGGGAGATCGAGATCTTTAATTCTTAGAAATCCTGCTTACTTTCATTACGACCAAAACTATTTTTGCATCTCGTAATATCTGGCAAGACTTTTCGTCTCGGTTAGTACTCTTACTCAGGCCCATACAAATTCCTATAAATGTTACACTCTACGACTGTTCTACTGTCATGGATTGTCCAGATTTATTCTGTAGATTGCGGATTTTGTCAGTAGGTGGTCTTGGCACATTTAATTCAGGCAAAAATCAGAAGTTCTATGAACATGAAATTATGGCACTGCCTGATAGATGGTAAAAGGTCATCGACAAAAACGGACAATAATTAATCGAATAAAGTTATATTTTTAAGCAACAATTTGGAATTTTCCTTCTTATTTAAAATACGCAATCACTTAGTCACAATACAATACAAAGTCCTAGTTACATATCTGCTTAGTCTTACGGCATACGTATGTCGATGAAATTTATGTCTGTTGTAGTTTACGAATTTTGCTTCTGTTGTATTAAATATGTATATATGTATATAGCTTTCTTCGCATTGTTTTATATTTAAGGAGCGAAACCGGTATCATGTTTTCGTAAAATATTAGAGTGTTATACGTCTTATTAGGTACCTTTGATATCTCTACAAAGTAAGCACAGTTGTTAATCCAGCTTTTTGCTAACCGATCGTTTATTTATTGCGCCACGCCAGCTTATTTAACCATTGTTACTTTTTCCATATTTTTATATAAGTTTACTATATTTTAATTAAATCACAATTAATTTCATAACATTTGTTAAATACCACTTCGCGTTACTGTTCAATGTTCGAATTATAACCGAAAGTCTTGACGCGTGGAAGGAATTCGATCACGGAGAACCGAATTTATTCTCAAAAAAGAAAACAAAAGGATGATAACGGATGCCGTTTGTAAATCTGATGGAAGCTGAACGAAGGAAAAGGACACATATATGTATAACGTTGACCGATCTGCATGCATTGGTGAAAAAAATTTGTCTTTTCCGCGGACGAGAATGAGGCATCGTTTGTCTGTCTCGCGCGTGAAAGAAACGATTCTAAGAAAAATAGGAGGTAGAAGAGAGTGTAAAGTAGAACGATGTAGCGTGTATCGGTCTGAAAAGGAGCGTCGTGGGCAAATTTGCTTCTCGTTCACCTCCTACGAGCGTAATGCCCCGGCGGGGAATTAAGCAACGAGACGATAGTCAATCATGAATATACAAAGCCGGGTAACCGGGAGCGGCGTTGGCATAAAACGTGATTAAAATTAACTCGACAATAACCAGTCCACATTAACAATTTATATTTCGTTGTTGCCCGGTCGCAGGCCGTGCCACTCGAGCGCTCGCCGATTCGCATTGTGCATTTTCCACGAACCTCGCGATTCCGCCGTAACAATTGCAGAAACACACGAGCAGCACATTGTTCTTCGAATAATGTGTGAATAATGCATCTACTGGTTCCATTTTTTTTTTAAATATCGTGTTTCTGAAATTTGACGAAATACCTGAAAGAGTGTAAGAGAGGAGAATAAGATTCTGTCTTGAAGAAAATATTAAGCTTACTTGCTAGAAGACACAGTAGAATTCTATTTATAAGGATTTGATTTATTCGAAAAGAATTGTGTAATTAAGTAATGGATATCTGTGCAAACTCACTATATATTCTTACTATATGTAACATGTTCTTCGCTCTTTCCTCTTGCTATTTTCCCTTACTATCTTCCAATTATAGAGCCTTTTAAATACACATTATCTCCCAACAAAGAAAATTAGCACTTGTATCTACGTCTGATCTACAGACTGCAGACGTAGATCGGACGATCTAGCCCAGAAATATTCTACTTCGGCGCGCAACTTACTCCCTCTACAGCGTCTACAGTCTACAGTCTACAGTCCACAGTCTACAGTCTACAGTCTACAGTCTACAGTCTACAGTCTACAATCTACAGTCTACAGTCTACAGTCTACAGTCTACAGTCTACAGTCTACAGTCTACAATGCATCTAGAAACGAACTCCCCAATTGAATAGTCTATAACTCAAGCAGCATAAAAACGACGTACCTATAATACAATTCATAAGTTGCCGCGGCCTGTAATTATCATGACAAATGATCGTTTAATTGCAAAGGCGGTGTTAACAATTTCCATGGACCGCCTACAGGATTCTTCGTGACGAACGGTCGATAAGAGTGTTAACTGCATGTCCTGTGATTGAAGGAGTGTCTTGTGCATCGTGATCGAAACGTGTCATGAACAAGAGAAGAAGAGATCAGAGAACGACAGAGAACAAGAGGATCTATAGTAACGCAACAACGTCTTTGTCAGGCGTTCGCGCATTCTTCGTGTGCCCGACAATTACATTCCACGCATCGCTTTGAGCTGTGCCCAACCCGCCGTGCCGCGCGCCGCCGCCGTATTCTGCCCGGCCACACATCGACACGATTTGCTCCTGGAAAATTTCAATACGCTTTACAAGGTGGCGGACAGTCGCTAGCGAGATCAAAGGGATCGTGGACATATTTCGCGTTTCGCTTGTATCACGCCGCTGTCAGGGAATTTGTCCTTCGCTCGTCCCCTGCTCTCGCCTTTGATTCCACAAAAGAAATTTCGTGCTGGGTTTGTTGTCGACGCGACGCCTCAGCTTCTCCGCTCTTTCTTCCTCTTCCGTGGTGGAAAATTGGTTAACCGTGTGGGAATTACGCGTCCACTGCGTCGCTTTCTATGGTACACTTCGTCGATGTGACGTCTCGTTTCGTCTCGTAATTATGAATTACTTTGAAAATGTATGAGTGTTTACTAGCATTTATGATACGTTTTAGCCAAGTTTGAGACAGCAAGTAGGTTTTAGAGTGACTGAAAAGATCGCCACGGAGAAACTTGTTGCGCGATTGAATTAGTGCTATTGGCGAAACTTCAAAAGCCGCTATTGCACGATATTAACAAACTCGATAACGTAACGAATCAAATGTTACAAATTATATGTTATCTGTTTATCATATTCTATCATATGTGCATATATTCTACAATTAAATTGTAAAGGAGAAGTTTCTAATCTATAATTTGTAACTTGTCACTTTGACGATATAATTAACATAATGAGAGTGTGGTGATTTAAAAATTCTTTTACAATTAAATATCTAGAAATATCTTGCGGCTCGTTAAATATTAATTTTTGCGAAAACACGTAAGCGATAGTTAGGAACAATTTGTTCTAAGAATCGGTTTGACCAAGCACTCGTTGACCAGGCCGCGTGATCGTCACGGGGTCGTTGCACCATTGTTTACGCGTATAATGTTATTGTTGCTGTATCTCTGGTTGTCGGTTGATGTAATGGAACAATGACGTGCTTATACGCGGCAAACACGCCAACGATCCACAGTTATGTACGTTTGCTGCACTACCGCTTGCATATGAGCTTGCAAAAATTCAATGTCACATTATTGTCAGAGAATATACGTATTATTATTGAAAAGATCGAATCGTCGTGTCAGGGCTCTGACATACATCGAAGAAAGATGGGAACGTGATTTAACCTCGTCAGGCTGTTTATCTCCTCGTGTGATATTGCTCTTAAGTGTTAAATCCTCGCCTTGTCCAAGTACATACGTTCACCTAGGATCGTTCTTTCAACTGGAAATATAAATTTGTATCTGTTGAGGTTATTAGATGTCTGAACAGAGGAACGCGTGGGTAAATTGTAAAGTAGAAAATATATTTTAATACAGAAGTGTAAGTACAAGTAGGAATATAATTTGAGCTGATCTCGATCCGCACGCTAGCAGTGTTACCCTGTAACTGTCTATGGTCTGCCTTCGTCCCAGTCTATTGTCTATACGCTGTCGATGGTTTCAGTGCTTGAGAAAACTAAAAAGACCAGATGTAGAGTTTTCTTAGAAGCGGTGACCACTTTAACAATATTATCGATTATTATCAATCATATCGATCAATGCGTACGAGCATGTACATTGTATATGGTTAAGAGGATTATGGTTATATCCTCGTCGTTTATATGGTTAAAAGGATCAATATAGCGATGTTCATTTCAAAAAGCTTCACTACGCTAAAACTTGTTTTACGAACTTCAAGATCATCCTAATATATAATAATTTTACTTCAGTGCTGCAATGTACATTGATATATTTGCATATTAATAGCGCGACATTGCATCGCAAAATGCGATGTCATTCTCGAGATTATCGCGTGGAAGCGTTAATTACCATTGGAACCGTGTCGTGGGAACGATTCATCCGAAAGGATTACGGATGCGCGAAATTCGCGGCAAAGCGCGAAGCCACGACCTACTTCTACGGCTTATCGCAAGAAACTACGGTTTATGCGGGAATTACGAGCCTGCCTGTATTTATCTACGCTATTCAGGTGGCACAAATAAATATGACGTCACTTAACAGGCCGAACGCCGCTTCTCGCGCAAATAAGCGTCTCTATTATTAGTTTTCTAACGTCGTGTTTCTCGTTTGAGGCGTCAAGTGGCTTGCACAAGAGTCGAATGCACACGCCGATTCTTTGTTTCGCTCCGCTATGACTGCGTGTGTCCTCGCGCCAACTCATAAACGACTCTCACGGTCGCCGTTTTTCCAGATAACGCTTCGATTCTTCTTCCTTTTTGCTCCTCTTCCTTCCTTCTTGCTTCGCTGTCGATTCAGCAGCCACACCAGAATCTCTTCTTTTTGCCTGGCCGCTTTCTTCGCGCCCTTTTTTCGTTTATCCCCACCCTCGCTCGCTTTTTTTCTCCACAGCCACTCGTGTTGCATCGACTCGTC